TCCACCACTTGCAAATATAATTATATATCTCATGAGGAATAATATTCTATAGGTCTTATCTTTTTCTTTTTTTTCTTTTTTGTCTTTGATGGTTTTTTTTTTTTTTTTTTTTTTTTTTTTTTTTTTTGCAGTGAAAAATATAATTGGAGGAGATTTTGCTCGACCTTCGAAATTTATGAAAAAAGTTTCATTCTTCTACTTCCAGCCCAACAAAGACGGTAGACAAAGTCATTGTGGAAAACTTTATAAGTCAGTCAAGAGAAATAAGTACAAAAATAATGGTCCATCCCCAAAACTAATTACAGGCATTAATGGTTCAACTACTTCATCCCCAAAGAAAAGTCACAAGAGACACGTAGGGCTAGTTTGAGGTTGATGTGCTTTGAAAAAAAAAACGCTTTTGTTATAATCCTGTTAATGGTTTACAATATTGGTTGATAGAGAATCAAAGTAGATTTACCAATGAATCGTGATTTCGAAAAGAAAATCTAAAACAAAAATATAGAAAATACGGTTAGCAGAATGAAGCGTAAACGTAAACGACAATCAACAGTTAAATTTAAATCTATGAGTTATGGGATTATGGTGGCTAATTTCAAAGTTGACATCTTCACAAAAGTAGTAGAGCTTTCATTACGAGTGTTTGTAAATTTTTATTTTTTATTTTTCACACCTTCTATTAATTAAAAAACTTTACTACAACAATAGCCTCATAAGTGAGATTAAATCCTTATTGTTAGATTCTTTAATCTCACTTACGTTTTTAATATTACATTTTCATTTTGTTATTTATTGGTTTAAAATATTTTGTTTAACGGGTACCAGACTAGGTCATATTAGTCGTTAATATTAACGAGTCCGGTCATATTACAAGTTTTATTTTAACGCATGACCCGTTAGATATAAAGTATGTCACGAAAACGACACGAATACATAAAATAGGATACGAATGCCCTACACTTTGTTCAGGCATAAATTTTGACACGTCCCGACCCTGATATTCCCCGAATACCAGGATAAACACATGCTGGCCGACACCCGAGGCTGACGAAAGCCATTAATTGATACAAAAGCTAAGAATAAGAAATAATTAAGGGTTATGAAATTTAAAAACAATGAGTTAATAATTTAGGAACGTGTTCACAACATACAACTAAACCTAATCACTAAAAAGAATTCAGATAAAATTGAATGAATAAAGAAGTGGGTCCTACATCGAGAGGACTCAAATATGCTGCTGCGGAAGTGCCTTCACTCCGGGATTAGGTGCCTTGATTCTAAGTCCTGGCTACGGGCGCAGAGACAATGAAGAGGCATTGGGCCGGGAGTATATTTATTCGGTGATCTTACTAGCAGCACACCGCGTTTACGAGACGATTTATGAGACGTTTATTGTTTTGATTTCTGCAATGATATTCCGCTATATGTGACTTTTGAGATATTTTGGCATGCTAGGATTTTTATTAAATCCATCACTTATTATGCTAGTAGTTTTCATTATATAAACTTTGGGGGTTAGTACATTGATAACTGTTTTATTATTATTATATATAAACTTGGTCCACTCACCTTTGTTTTGCGCCCCCATCCAGGACTTAGAATCAAGGCACCTAATCCCGGCGTGAAGGCACTTCCGCAGCAGCATATTTGAGTCCTCTCGATGTAAGACCCACTTCTTTATTCATTCAATTTTATCTCAATTCTTTTTAGTGGTTAGGTTTAGTTGTATGTTCTGAACACGTTCCTAAATTATTAACTCATTGTTTTTAAATTTCATAACCCTTAATTATTTCTTATTCTTAGCTTTTGTATCAATTAATGGCTTTCGTCACCCTCGGGTGTCGGCCAGCACGTGTCTATCCTGGTATTCAGGGAATATCAGGGTCACGGGCCTTATACTGAAGGGCCTTGGGCCGAATTCTGTCAAAGGGCTTAAAGCCCTGCCCTTTTAAGGCCTGCGGGCCGTGCCTTGTGGGTGTGTATGGGCTGTGTGTGTGTGTGTGAGTGAGTGTGTGTGTGTGTGTGTGTGTGTGAGTGTGGTTTTGGGCTTAAGCCCAAACCACCCATTTTCACCCTAACCCTTTTTATTCCTAGGCCTATCCAAAACCCAAAAACCTTAGAAAACCCAAAACCCAATATATCCTAATCCTATTTAACCTAAACCCTAATCCGGATTTCAAGCCTAAAACCCGTTAGACCTAATTTGACCATTGACCCCCGGTCAACGTTGACTTTAGGGTTGACCTTTCGGGTTTTCGTCCAGGACCCTTCTTAGGGTAATTCGACGTTCTGAATCCGTTTCCAATATCCACTTTCCCAAATTCAACTGTTTAAGTAGAGTTTGACTAAATGTGCTATTTATGTGCTTAGGGGCAATTATTGTGACGTTTCCGTCTTCACTAGTGGCACAGCTTTTGGCAACTAAGTACTGTGAGTGGACCCCTTCTAAAATTACATGATTTGATAATTTAATTTCATAAATGATTAGCATGCCTACGGATTTATAATTTGATTTATGTGAAGCCTGTTGATTAAATATATTGATTTTCGTCTCGTGTTTTGGTGAGGAATTAATTGTTAGCCTATATTGAGCTATATTTTAATATATCGTATTTTCTATAAAAACCATGAACTGGTAGACTATCTAATAGATGACGATAGGATGCTAGAACATGTTTTTGAACCCCTCTTTATAGTGTAGACGATGATCGGTAATCTATGCTATGAAGTGGTTATTTATGAGATGCGTAAATATTTGTGCGTACCTAGTAGACACTATGCCGCTTGGGGCGAGGAACTGGTGTTGGCATTTAGGCCTGGAGAAATAATCCCTAGCTACGGGCTGAGGGACATGGAGCAGGTATTGGGTCGGGAGTTGGTAATCTCTGGCTACGGGCGCAGAGACCACGGAGCAGGCATTGGGCCGTGAGTTTATTTATTCAGTGATCTTTCTAGCAGCACACCGCGTCTACGAGACGATTTATGATGCGTTTACTGTTTTGATTTCCGCGATGAGTTTCCACGATATGGCTTTTGAGATATTTTTGGCATGCTAGGATTTTGTTAAATCCATCATTTATTATGCTAGTAGTTTTTATTATATAAACTTTGGGGGTTAGTATGTTGATAACTGTTTTATTATTATTATATATATAAATTTGGTCCACTCACCTTTGTTTTGCGCCCCCATTCAGGACTTAGAATCAAGGCACCTAATCCCGGCGTGAAGGCACTTCCGCAGCAACATCTTCGGATCCTCTCGATGTAGGACCCACTTCTTTATTCATTCAATTTTATCTTAATTCTTTTTAGTGATTAGGTTTAGTTGTATGTTCTGAACATGTTCCTAAATTATTAACTCATTGTTTTTAAATTCATAACCCTTATTTACTTCTTATTCTTAGCTTTTGTATCAAGTAATGGCTTTCGTCACCCTCGGGTGTCGGCCAGCACGTGTCTATCCTGGTATTCGGGGAATATCAGGGTCGGGGCGTGTCAAATTTCCTCGTTCTTTTTTATTCAAGTACATGAGATGCATATTACCATGGGATTATCGTGCCATACTTTCAATGCGAAATGAACAAAATCGGCACAATGCTCAATTAATTAAGAGTGTTCAGGTAAATTGTACTAGAGAATAAATAATATTTGTCGTACCTTTCTTCTCGTTTGTGAGTTTGAGTTCGCATTGAAGTCTTGAGCTCCAAGTATCATATTTCTTTATTTTCTCTTGGATCCACTCTTAATTCCATCATGGGCATGGTTGTCGATGATCGCATAGGCATTTGATTACCAAACACAAAAAGCATCACATTATTTTGTAGGATTTTAATAAATTACAATTATGCATCCTCAATCTCGATCCTTGCTTAGTACTGTGCCATATGCATTGCCATGCTACGCCTTCTTCTATCACCCATTAATGAGATATTGAGGATTTTTAGGAAACAAAAACTCTTTCAAAGTTGAAGGATTGGTAAATATAGAGGATAATTGAAGGTTGAAAGGTTGTGTGATCAACAAATATTGGACATATGTTTATATAGAGGATGATTGATGAAAGTTGAACGGTTGGTGAAAGTTGAAAATTTGGTGTTGAACGGTTGGTGAAAGTTGAAAGTTTGGTGTTGAATGGTTGGTGAATTGAAAATTTGGTGTTAAACGGTTGGTGAATTGAAAGTTAGCCTAGGGTTGAAAGATTGGTGAAAGTTGAAGGCTTGCTTTGTGGAAAATTTAGTGATTTTTCAATATTTATCAAAATTTAAATTTTTTTAGATTAAAATGGTCATAAAATTAATTTACGATAATCTAAATATTTATTTTTAAAAAAAAATTAATTTAAGAAAAAAAAATAGCCTAAGTTCATTCTTTAATAATTCCGGGCTATAATTTTAGACCATAAGACCTACTCCAACCCTGGGCTAAATGCCAAATATTTAGCCCAAAATTCCCCCCAAACACCCCCCAACCCAAGCTAAAATATTGGGCTAAAAGGGGAATGCTAAAGTTGGGCCAAATTCCCCCCCAAATTCCCCCCGGGCTAAATGCGAAATGTTTATCGGAATTTAAATTTTTTTAGATTAAAATGTTCATAAAATTAATTTACAATAATCTACATATTTATTTATTTTTAAAAAATTGATTTAAGAAAAAAATTTAGGCTAATTTCATTCTTTAATAATTCCGGGCTAAAATTTTAGAGTAGAAGGGTTGGAGCAGAAAAGATGTTTCTGGGCTAAAAGCTAAATTTTTCGGGCTAAAAAATTTGGCTTTTAGCCCAAGGGTTGGAGATGGTCTAACAGTTGGAGCAGAAAAATTATTTCTGGGCTAAAAGCTAAATTTTCCGGACTAAAATATTTGACTTTTAGCCTAATCATTGGAGATGGTCTAATGAAAAGCTTGTCCCTTTGAAAAAGTCACTCCAATTATTGCAGTATTATTGCAGTCTTTGCAATTATTGCAGTCTTTGCAGAAGTGTGGCATTGCATTGTATTCCTGCTCTATAAATTATCTCATCTCGTATTCCTTGTTTACTCCACTCTTGAGCCTCTTAAATCTTATCCATTGTTCCTTTTATTTAAATTCCCTTCATCCACTCAAAGATCAGCAAGTTCGTTCTGATTATACTTGTATTAGACCAAAAGCTCCCCATGTCTAGGCACGTAATGATGAAATATCAAAAATGGATCACTCCCATTCAACTGACCAGGCCGAGAGTGCTAGTACTACTGATCGCTTAGCAGTTCAGACCAAGGAGGGAGCTACTAAAGAAGGCAATAGTGCAGTTTCGATAGGTGGCATGGAACTTGATGTGTTTCGTGCTGCAAAACAAGGCGACCTTGTTGCCCTCAGGGAACATGCTGAACATCTTCACCTAAAGCTGACTGCAACAAATAACACGGTCCTTCATGTTTATATAGCATGCTTAAGCAGGCCGACATCCGGACAAAACACACTGGAGCCAGCCGACATTGTGAACCATATCCTTGAAATGTGTCCCGCACTACTATGGCTGCACAATAAGAGCGGTGAGACTGCCTTACACCTATCGGCGAGACAGGGGCTAGTTGATATAGTTGGAGTTCTTATCGATCAGGCAACAAAAGTTCGTCACCATGGCGACCTTGAGCAAGGCCGAGTCTTAACAGAAGAAGAAGCCTGCTTGAAGAAGCAGATGCTCATTAGGAAAACCAACAACAACAAGGATACAGCGTTGCACGAAGCAGTGCGCTATAATAATCCTTTAGGAAAAACAACAACAAGAAGGAAAACCAATCAACGTTCTGTGGTGGAGAAATTGACCAAAGAAGACCCCGAGTTTTCCTACGCTGCTAATGATTCAGGCGAAACTCCAATTTATTTAGCTGCCGAGAGGAAAAATCTTCCTTTGGTTTCTGAAATGCTCAAGAATTGCAGTGTTCCAACTTACACTGGTCCAAATGGTAGAACGGCGTTGCACGTTGCAGTGATTCGCATGGATGAAGGTATATATGTGCATACAAAACTAAATTTGTTTCCTTTTCCTTCTATTTCCATGACATAAACCCACCACATATTTTTAAGGGAAACTTTGGTTTCAGTATCTGGTTGATCAAGTTTTTCCCTTGAAACTGATATTCTATAACTTTTCGTCCTAAAATGCCGCTCATTATTTTAAAACAAATTTGGTGGAATTTATTGCAAATCTGGTAGTTTTCATTATCGGTGTTTAAATTTTCTAATTGATTGGTATGTATAATCTCACCCTGTGGGATGATAGTCCAGTTTTTTCCACTTTTCTTTCATCAAATTTTCAAATATTATAATTCAATTTTTTAAAGACTATACTACACGTTGCTACTCTTTTTAACACTTTCTTGCTCTTGACATGTGTTTGTTTGAAAATTTATTTACTTGTATTTTCTTGCACTTTAGGTGCATTAATATGTAGGTAAATTAATTGAAAAAAAAAAGAATTGAAGGGCACATCCTAAGGGGTTAAGGGTACACGAGAGTACAAGGGCAAGCAAAAAGGAACTGAAAAAAAAAATGAATTGAAGGGCACATCCTACATACATATACATGTTTTTAATTTTATCTATATTTGTTTGTGTTTTGTGTTTATGCTTAAGAAATGACGGAGGAACTACTAAAAGCCGATAGGACTTTGAGCAAAGCAGCAGACGAACTAGGATGTACTCCACTACACCTTGCTGCACGTTGTGGTTCCATTTCAATTGTTAAACAACTGCTTGCAAATGATAGATCTACTGCTTACATTGCTGACAAAGATGGTGCGACAGCTCTTCACTTTGCAGCGTCCGAAGGCAATCTAGATGTAATGAAAGAGCTTATTTCTCAATGCCCTGATTGTTGCGAACTGGTCGACAACAAATTTCAGAATGTTCTTTACTACGCAATACGGAACCAACAATACCAAATAGTCAATTATGTTTCAGCAGATGCATGGCTTAGCAACATCCTGTTAAATGGCATTGATGTTGATGGGAACACACCCTTCCATCACCTAGCTATTCATTCTCCCAAAAGCATCGACTTGCTAGATTATCATAAAGTTGATTGGATGGCATTCAACAAGCAAAACTTAAACGCTTTTGACATACTTCTAGCCAACTTCGATGATATACACACATTACTGCAGGTACGTATCACCTTGTGATCATTAAATTGCTTGAATTTGTTTGCCAAGATAATAATAATAATAATATTATAGTCCTCCTCTGGCTTTGCAGGAATTTTATGGAAAACTACTTCGAATGATGGGTGTTAGACCAAGTCCAAGAATTGAAAACCCAAAAGAAAGTAGTGGCAATGAGGTGGAGGAAACTCAAAGAAGCAAGGACATGGGAGAAGGTTTACAGAAAGCAAAAGAAACTCATCTGGTAGTGGCTACATTGATAGCAACTGTTACCTTCGCAGCAGGTGTTACCATGCCCGGCGGATACCAAAGCGAAAAAGGACCAGACCAGGGTTCCCCCCTTCTGTCAAGAAAAGCAGCGTTCAAAGCATTTGTTCTAACTGATACACTAGCCATGGCCATGTCTAGTTGTTCTGTCCTAGTGCTCCTTTACTCCTCAATTCACGCAAAGAGGAATTACAAAGGCACGTTTCAATTGGCAGTGTCTTTGACAATTTGGGCTTTGGTTGCAATGGTTGTTGCATTCATTACCGGCACATATGCAGTACTGGGTGGTCATTCTCCAGGGATTGCCGTTGCAGCTTGTGCGCTTAGCTGCATTTTCTTCTCTGTCTTTGCAAATTCTCTTCTTTCTATTGAAAGAAAAATACATAATGCGCCACATTTCATGGACGACATGGTTCACGACTTTAAGCTGCTGACAGGTTACTCGTCAATTGTCAGATTGAGCTCATTATTAGGTTTCTTCATGAAGAAGAAGGAGAATTTGTTATCACGCATTCCTTAAAATATTGTATTTTATTCTCGAGACATGAAATAATATTTTTCTTCGAATGGGTTTCTTAAATAATTTATCGAGCTTTGACTCGAGAATTCAAACCTCGTACTTTTTTATGTTTCATAACTTTAGTCTCGTACGTTAGTTTAACGTTGAAGATTTAATTTGAAATAAAATCACGAGGGCCTAATTGTAATTTTAACAACTAGTGGAGGGCTATTTTGTAATTTCACTTAAAATGGGTTTAAGTGGGATAAAATGACTCTCGGCCTCTCTCTTTTCCTCAGCTGAAATCACTCTCTATCTCTCCATTCTCTGTTTACACTCTCGAACTCACTCTCTCTCCAGCACCGAGAGAGAGAACCACCCTAATTCCTTCACAAATCGAACTACAAAACCTCGAAATCTTAAATCTTTAGGATGAGAGGAACCTAGCCACACAATTGCATGTGCCATCGGAAGGATATAGGCAAGGAGCCTATCGGCGAAGGAGGCTCTGCTTACTTGCTAGTGGACCCCTTTGAAAAACTAAACGTTTTTATGCTATATAGATATGTATATGTCTTGTATGCAGATGCATATTACTATGTTGGTCTTTGATGAAACTTAAGCTAATATTTGATGATATCTTGAGATCATCAGTGATTTATTTTCACCACATGGTCTCTTATATATGTTGTATGGCTATCTTTGGCCATAGATTATTTGCAAGTGATATTTTATCATGGTAGATAGTAGGATTATTGATTATTACCAGTAGTGAGTTTAACTAGTTGATGCTAGTGGACGCTAGTATGATTGATTGAGTAAAGATATGATTTCTGAATTATTGATTGAATGCTTTCTATTATGGAAATTTGTCTGATTTTCATTTACTATTATGGTAGTAAATAGGGAAAATTACATTTTACCCCCTCATGTTTGGGGTCAATTTCATTTCCTTCCAACATCTTTAAAACATTTCAATTTCATATATCCGTTAAAAAATCCGCTAAATAAACCGTTAAATGATAACGTGGTTGCCACATTTGTGCTACGTGGCAAAAAAAAAAAAAATCTATGCATTTAAAAAAAAATTAATCAAAATATTAAATACTAAGATAATAATTAAAAGAAAAGAAAAAAAAACCTAAAAGTCTTCGCCTTCCCTATCCCCGGCTGCATTCTCCCTCAGTCCCTCTTCCCCTGCAAACCCCTTAATCCCCTAATCCAATTTCCGAATCAGCCTATGCCCACCACCGAAAGAATGAAAATTGCATTTATGGCTTTGGACCTTCTCTCTTCCATCTTCTTTCAATCTCTTGAATCTCTTTGGAAAACAAGAATTCTTCCTTCAATTTAGATTCAAATCGATTAGGAAATTGGGGTTGGGTTTTGGGTGTATGCGATGGAGTTTTTGGTCTGCGATGGGTGTTTGCGATGGGTGTCTGCGATGGAGTTTCCACTTGGAAGAAGAAATTGAGGCAAGGGTTTGAGGTGGTGATGAAGGTGGGGGAAAATTGGGGGTCTCTGGGTTGCTCGGGGATTTGAGGATGAGGAAATTGATGGTGGTGGTGTGCTGGTGGGAGGGGTGGTGCGGTGGTGGTTATGGAGATTGGAGGAGATGAAGGCCAATGGTCGGGTGGTAGAAGAGGGCACGGGTGGAGAAGTTTTTGGGGTTTTTAATTTTTAATTTTTTTTTTAATTTTTTTAATTTTTTATTAAGTATTTAGCCACGTGGCACAAATGTGGCAGCCACGTCAACACAAATGGGGATCACATATTTGTCACGTCATCACTTAACGGATTTTCTAACGGATGTATGAAATTGAAATAAAATGATAAGTAAATGTATGAAATTGAAATGTTTTAAAAATATTGTAAGGAATTGAAATCGACCACAAACTTGAGAGGGTAAAATGTAATTTACCCTAGTAAATATTATTATGTGGTTTTCACTATATATGTTTTCAAAACATGAGTTATTATGTTGAATGATTTTAAATGATAAAACTGGTGCACTCATATTTTGTTTTATCAACCCCTTCATGATGTAATGAGAGCAGGGAGAACATCGGTGGTGACGAGTGTGTTGGAATCCCACAACGGTGAGTGCAAATGAAAACAATGGATTTAAATATGATTACCCCACTCTAACTAATATTGAGGCATATTGTGAAAAAAACCCACACCTAACAGATTGAGCAGGTGGTAAAGTTAGGAATAATATCGATATTATTAGAGTAGGGCCCATGGGCCCACTGATCCAAAAATCCAACATGGTATCCAAGCCAAGGTTCGGGCTCGTGCAAGCCAACGAGCATGTCACAAAGAAGGAAACAAGCCAGGACTCTTAACATAGAACCGGTCGCTGAGTTCCATTGAAAACAAGTCTGGACTCTTACACATAGAGCCGACCTCTGAGTTTCAGTTGCTGATGTGTGGATCTCCATGTGTGAACCACTAAATTGGGTTACAAGTGAGGGGGAGTGTTGGAATCCCACATCGGTGGTGCAAAAGAAAACAATGGGTTTAAATATGATTACCACACTCTAACTAATATAGAGACCTTTTGTGATCAAACCTCATACCTGACAGATTGGGTAGGTGGTAAAGTTGAGGACAGTATCGGTGTTGTCAAAGTAGGGCTCACCAATCCAAAAATCCAATAGAATGGGCTTGGCAGTGAGGCTTTCATCCTCTGGACTTTGGGTGATGGTTTACTTACTACAATTTTATCCAGTTTGTAATAATTTGCATGATCGTAATTTGGATTATGCATAGCACTGACACGTTTGTGTGTTTAATGTTGTGTGAAACTTCTAGCTACTTTGATGTGATGTGATAATAACGGGAGTTAAATTCCGAGATAATTTATGTCCCAAAGTGGGGAGGATGATAAGTAAACTATGTAGCAACTTTGGTTTTTATTATTAATGAACTTTTTTGGTTCAAATATCTTACGTTTTTGGTTTACCATTACAGCATTACTATGTGTTGCACATATATCTTCAAAGCACTTTGAAAGAGATTGGTGCCATACCAGGTCATCGGATTTCAAGCGACAAGGATGGTGGCAGCAGCAAAGTTGAGGAAAACAAAGGTGGCAGCCAAGTAGAGAAAACAGAGGTGTTGGCATCGAAGTGAAGGAAGAAAGATACTCCCATCTGGTTGTGGCTACACTTATAGCAACTATAACGTTCACAGCTTGTTTCGCCATGTCTGGTGGTTACCAAGGCGAAAAAGGACCAAACCAGGCTTCGCAGTTCTATCCAGAAATGTAGCTTTCAAAGCTTTTGTGATAACAAATACAATAGCCATGACTATGTCTAGCTCTAACAACCCATCCTAAAATTTACGGATCAAAAAGGGTATTTTTGTATGTTCACTAAGTTTGGGGATATTTTCCTTTTAAAAATGGTTTTTGGGTCTTAAATGGTGTACCCAAGGGGTCCACCCCCTGATTTGTTCCCCCGGTTCCCTCCCCCTTTTCTTTCATTTTTCTGATTTTTTTATAACTCTCTCTCCTTTAGCTCTCTTCCCTCTTCTCTCCTTCTCGAGCTCCTCTCTCTCTCGAACTCTTTCCCGATCGACACCAACCCACACCCCATCAATGACGACATCATCACCATCATCACCTAGTTAGCTCTCTTTCTCTCTTCGTCTCTATGGAGCACAAAGAAACTTTGGGAGTTCCTCATCCTTCCGTTTTGGGTAAGCCTTAAAACACTCCAAATGCCTCTCTTTTCATCCCTATAGTTCTTTTCTGACCTTGTGGTTGTGTCGTCAAACCACGAAGAAACACGTCGGGGAGACTTTCCTGGATTTCCAGTGAGAAACCGACGGCTTTCGAGCCAATTTCTGGCCAAACCACACTGAGTTGGCTGCTTACAAGGTATCAATCTCTTTGTCTCGTCGAGTACTACAACTTTCCTTTTTGTTTCACCCAATTTCGTTAAGTATTGAAGAAGTTATACTCATTTGAATCTTACCCATTTTTTGGCGACCTCAGCCGCTTTTGAGGCGTTTTCCGGCCAAAACACAGTGAGTTAGATATCATGCTAGGTACCATTATCTTCTTCTTTTTGAGAACTACGATTTTCGTTTTTGAATCACTTGATTTCGTTGAGTAACGAGGAAGTTATGAACGTTTAAAGTTTAGGCAGTTTTCCAGCCGAAATCCGGCCTTCTTCTTCCTTTGAATCCGGCAACCCAAAAACTCCAAGGCCTTTGGGCCTTTTCTGCCGTGACACACCCCGACCCTGATATTCCCCGAATACCAAGATAGACACGTGCTGGTCGACACCCGAGGGTGACGAAAACCATTAATTGATAAAAAAGCTGAGAATAAGTAAATAAGGGTTAGAAATTTGAAATACAAAGAATTAATAATTTAGGAACGTGTTCAGACCATACAACTAAACCTAATCACTAAAAAGAATTTAGATAAAATTGAATGAATAAAAGAGTGGGTCCTACATCGAGAGGATCCGAAGATGCTGCTGCGGAAGTGCCTTCACGCCGGGATTAGGTGTCTTGATTCTATGTCCTGAATGGGGGCGCAAAACAAAGGTGAGTGGACCAAGTTCATATATATAATAATAATAAAACAGTTATCAAGATACTAACCCCTACAGTTTATATGATGAAAACTACTACCATAATAGATGATGGATTTAATAAAAATCCTAGCATGCCAAAATATATCTCAAAAGCCATATAGCGGAATATCATCGCATAAATCAAAACAGTAAACGTCTCATAAATCGTCTCGTAAGCGCGGTGTGCTGCTAGTAAGATCACTGAATAAATATAACTCCCGGCCCAATGCCTGCTCCGTGGTCTCTGCGCCCGTAGCCAGAGATTACCAACTCCCGACCCAATGCCTCTTCATGTCCCTCAGCCCGTAGCTAGGGATTATTTCTCCCGGCCTAAATGCCAACACCAGATCCTCGCCCCAGGCGGCATAGTGTCCACTAGGTACGCACAAATAGTTACACCTCTCATAAATAACCACTTCATAGCATAGATACCGATCATCGTCTACACTATAAAGAGGGGTTTTAAAAACATGTTC